GCTGGAGCCGCTGTGAGCCAATCATAAGCTGGCAGCTAGAAGTTTGCTGGGGCCCCTTTGGCTGTGGCTCTCAACAATGAACACCTGCCATCCCAGTGGCTCTGGAGGCTGAGGCAGGAGGATCTCCAGTTGGAGGCCAACCCCAGCAACTTAATGAGGCCCTGAGCAACTTAGCAAGACCTTGTCTCTAAATTAAAAAAAATAAATAAAGAGGGCTGGGAATGTGGCTCTGTGGTTAAGCCCCCCCTGCATTTAATCCTGAGCACCACAAAGTCGTGGAAACGGAGGCAGTTGATCTTAAAACCGAATCCCTCAAGCTAGAAATTGAAAGGACTGACATTTGCCCTGGGACATCGTGGGTACAAATCACAAAGCATCCCTCCCAAATCTCCCCAGTCCCTCTCCCCCAAAGGGAACCAATCTCCTGCACTCTGACATCATTGACTGATCTTGCCCTACTCTGGAATTTCATGAAAATGGAGGAATTCCATGCCTAGCTTTATATGGCAAATTTTTTTTTATTATGGTGCCATATTCTAATGTACGAATCTCCCACATTTTATTAATCCTTTCTGGTTTGCTTTTCTGGAGTATTTTCCTATGTTGCACTTGTTAACTATACATCTTCATGGGATTCAGCAAGATGTTTTCATACATGCATATGCACGGCACGTGCTAACCCAAAACATGCAGTACTTCTCTTTCTGTGCCTGGCTTATTTCACAGAATATGATGTCCTCCACTTTCACCATGTGGCTGCAAATGATGGGGTCTCCCTCTTTTTTATAGCTGCATAATATTCCATGGTATATATATGTACCCCATCTTCTTTGACTGTTCACCCATTGATTGGCATCTAAACTGCATGTGCTTTCTCTCATTGATGAGTACTTGTTTAGGACACTTATAAATGATGCTACCATGAAATCCTTGTCTGTTGTCAGAGTGACTTCTGGTTCCTTCAGAATGCCCACCGCATCCCAAATGGTAGATCTTTAAAATAATAGTGATCTCCTTCAATAGCTACTGCTAAAGTGGTCAAAGCAATTTGCACTCCACCAGCAACACTGTGACATTGAGGGCATTCCACGTCCCCTCTAGGTACTGGACCTCATCCATTCTTGCAGCGTAAGATATTCTAGAGGATAGGTAGTTGTGCCTCATTCAGATTTAAATTTGCATTTGTCTTGTGGTCTCTGTTGAATGCTCCCCTTATTTCTCTGTGGCTGGTCTGGTTTCTAATCCCTTTATAGCCTTTCTTTATGTACAGTATATACTAGTCCTTTATTGGTTATGTGCAGAGGGAATACCTCTTCCCAATCTGGGGCTTGTCTTTCTCTCTCTCTCAATGGTGTCTTTGATGAATTTGAAGTATTGGCCCTTCATCTTGCGGACTCTGCATCACTAGATTCAACCAACCACAGATGGAAGATATTTAATTAGAAAATTATATCCATATTGAAAATATGCAGACTTTTTGTCATTATTGTTAAACGATGCAAAATAGTAACTATTTAGAGAGATTTTCTTCTGTATTAGGTATTATAGGTCATCTAGAGACATATGCTGTGTGAAGTTTAATGTGTGGAGCTTCTATGCAAATGTAATAACCTTTTATATAAAAGATTGAGCACCTGCAGATTTTATCTTTGGTTTCTTGGAATGGATCCTCCATGAATAGTGTTATGGTATAGTCATGAGATGTCCCTCAAAGCTCATAAACGAGACACTGCAAGAATGTTCAGAGGTGAAATGATTGGATAGTGAGAGCTATGATCCAATCAGTGGATTAAGCCACTTGAATCCACTCACTGGGTGGTGACTGCAGCAGGTGGGGTGTGGCTGGAGGAGGGAGTCCCTGGGCTGTGCCTTTGGGGTCTCTGTCCTGTCCCTGGTGAGCAGAGCTCTCTCTGCTCCCTGGTGCCCTGTCCTGAGCTGCTCTCCTCCTCCACTCCCTTCCGCCATTTTGTTCTGCCTCCCCTTGGGCCAGAGCCATGGAGTCAGCCAACCATGGACTGAACCTCAGAAGCCATGAGCCCCAAATCAACTTCTCCTGTAAATTTGTTCTTGTCAGGTCTTTTGGTCACATCAGAAAAAATTTAAAAACTACATAATAAGGTCTAATTTTTCAGACCTTTGAAATGATAATTGATATGCTCATTCATTTCTACTTTGATTTATTTCTATTTTTATGGAAGAAATTAAAAACATAATACAGAAAAGTTTAAAGAAGGAAAAAAGAATACCGTTCTGCAGGGCCCTTAAACTCAACAATGGCTAGCATTTTATCATGTTAGCCTGACATGTTTCTTTGTTATATATATTTTTTGTTGAGCCATTTCAAAATAACTTGTGATTCTTTTCAAAAATCTTTTCAAATTGCATTCACCCATTCATAATGGGGGAGCCTCAGGACTTCAACACCTCCCCACACTTTATTGTGGATTCAATTACCAGCACCTGACACTGGGGGACACATTCAGACGCTAGGAGCCTACAGGGACTGATGTTGAGTGTCACACCTGGCAGGGAAGAGCTAATGGCCTCAATGGGTTGAAGCTGAGATGTGGCTCAATATCCTATACTGCCCAGGAAGGACCCCACCACTGAATGATCCAGTCAAATGGTGACATAGTGTCATTGTTGAAAAAAAATGGCTGTAGGATCCAGTTAAAATTTTCATTTTCTGTTTCCTTGCTCTGTGGTCCTGAATGCATGCCACTACCATGCTCTTTTGATGACTGCCACTTTGTTGTGTATTTTTTAAAATATTTTTTTCTTGTCATTGGACCCAATACCTTTATTTCATTTTTTTTTAAATTTTTATGTGGTGCTGAGGACCAAACCCAGTGTCTCCATGTGCTGAGCCCCAGCCCCAGCAGCAATGTTGTGTATTTTTAATTCGGTGCATAGAACGCCTCCTACTTCATTCTTTTTGCTCAAAACACCTTTGCCTCTTTGGGGATTTTTTTTTTTGACTCCTAGGAATTTTAGGATTGTTTTCTCTAGTTCATCAGTATTTCGATGGAAATTGCATTGAATCTGAACCTGGCTTGGGGTAGTATGGGCATTTTAACAATATTGAGTCTTCCTATCCATGAACATGGGATGCCTTTTTCTGTGTATGACTCTGTCTCCAGTTTCTTTCCTCGATGTTTTATAATTTTTCATTACAGAGATCTTTCATTGCTTTAAGAAATTTTTGTTCCTGTGTGTGTGGGGGAGTTATTTTGCTTTTCTTTTGTTTTGGTATTTTGATGGAGAAAGATTGATCAGTGAGTATCAACTTATTGTTTTTTTTTTAAGATATTTATTTCTTTTTAGTTCTTGGCAGACACAACATCTTTGTTTGTATGTGGTGCTGAGGATCGAACCCGGGCCGCACGCATGCCAGGCGAGTGCACTACCGCTTGAGCCACATCCCCAGCCCCTCAACTTATTGTTAATTAGCAGTAACTTCGTGATGTACTATTGCACCTTAGCATGATTGTTAATAACAATAATGTCTGGCACATTTGGAAAAGTGAGAAGGAATTTGCATGCTTTTATCATAAAGAAATGATAGACATATAGAAAGATAGTTGTTTACCCAGATTTAAACATTATGCAATGTACTCATGTAGCGAAACATCTCCTGGTACCCCATAAATATATACAATTTTTATGTTTGTACATATTCGCTAAAAATACATTTAAATTGCGATTTTTTTAAATGAGATTGAGTTTTGAAAATTCCTGAATAATTTTTTTGCGAAATGCCCCAATTCGGGATTCATTTCATTTCATCCCAGAACTGAGAAAGAGGAGGGATCATGCTCCCCTTCATGATGGGCTCCCTTGGAAAGTAGTGGGATAGCTGATTTTATAATGTGTACCAGATTATAACCTATAAAAAAGGTCCAGAGATATAGATCAATAGCTTCCCAATTGAGTCAAAATGACTCAAGGCTTCCCTTTCAGGTGTGGACTCAACAACTGCCTGGCATCCTGCAGTTACCCTTCTACCTTCCTCCTGCTGGAATGTGTATGAGATGTGTCATGCTGTGGCAGTCATCTTGAGACCATGAAGCCAACTTACCTGTTAAAAATGGTAGAGCCTATATTACCTAGGGAAGAACATACCCTTCTCTCATTTAAGACATTCTTTTCCCCAGTCTCCTCTAGTCCTCTGTAATCATTTAAGCAGTGAGTTTGTGACTGCCATTTAGGATTTCTAAAAAAGAAGAATTTTTTAATTCATTTTCTCTCCATGTATAAATGGCAAAATCTGGTAAGTTACTCAAAGTCAGGGGGTGTACGTAGGAGAAGAATTTTGAACGTGGACTACAGGAACAAATGAAACCACCCAGGAAGAATCTGTCAGAATTTCAGAGTCCTGAGAAATGGCCTTGTATCCTCTGTACCCATTGTTTCTGCCTCCTCTTGGGCCAGAGCCATGGAGTCGGCCAACCATGGACTGAACCTTGGACACCATGATCCCCAAATACACTTTTCCTCCTCTAAGTTATTCTTTTTGAGACTTGTGGTCACCATGTGGTAAGATCTGACTACAACAGCATCGATTTGAATGTTTTCCAGTTTGATGGAGTGGTTTTATCCAAAACCAACCTAAATCAGGTAAACGATGAGGGAGCTCTTGCAGCCCATGCTCCATGACAGTTGCTATTTTGTCACTTTTAGTTTGTGTTGGGACTTCCCTGTTCCTCTAGATGTTCTCCCGGATGGACTCTGAAGCCTGAACTCCTTGCACCACCTCCCTTGGCTCACGTTCCCCGTGGCTGCAGGTTAAATCCAGCCACCAAGGAACTTGGCTTAACTTTCCATCACTGTGACAAAAGAACTGGCGAGACCAATTGAGAGGAAGAAAGGTTTATTTTGGCTCCTGGTGTCCGAGTTTTGGTCCATGGTTGGCCGACTGCATGGCCCTGGCCCAAAGGGAACAGAACAAAATGGCGGAACGGCCTGGAAGAGGAGAGCAGCTCAGGACAGGGCAGCCAGGAAGCCAGGGGTTGGAGAGAGAAGGGGTCAGGCACAAGAATAATGCGTTCTTCAGTTCTTTGTTGCTGTGACAAAATACCTGAGCCAAGCAACTTAGATTTACTTTGGTTCACAGTTTCACAGATCTCTGTCCGTAGTTGGCTGGCTCAGGGCTCTGGGTGTGAAGTAAGGCAGACCATCATGGCGGAAGGGTGTGGAGGAGGAACTCAGCTTAGGACAGGGCAGCAGGAAGGAGAGAGGGGGGAAGAAAAGCCAGGGACAGGATATAGTCCCCAAGGCCACACCCCCAAGGAAGCATTTCCTCCAAGTAGGCTCCATGTCCTACCACCTCCCAGTCGCCTGTTCAGCCCTCAATGGACTAACCCACTGATGAGCTCAGAGCTCTCGAGATCCAACCACCTCCTCAAAGCCTACCTCTGCACTCTTGCCCTGGCGACCACACTTCCAACACAAGAGCCTTTGAAGAACATTCTGGATCTAAACCACAACAAAAACCTCTACCTATAATTCATTTCCCTCCAAGGACTTTAAGAGGCAGGGCAGGGAGGGTCAGCTGCCTGGTTAGCAGAACCCTCAGCCCTTGTCTGGGACCCTCGCCCAGGGAGACACTCTGCCCCCCTGATCTCTGGAGGACAGAAGCTTCCAGGGCTGGGTATCACAGTGGCTCCTTGGTTGGGTCCACCTTCAAGTTGGAGGCTAGAGACAGAATAGGAATGCATGATCACTTGCTAATAGCACGTACTGGTATTTGTGTGTGCTTCCCAGCAGGATGAGATAAAGGGTGTTTCTTCTGGCAGTTTTAGTGATACATCAAAAACCTCGGCCCACTCAAGGAAGCTGTTCTCATTTCTATGCCACAGAGACTTACTCTCGCTTCATGAGAGCCAGGTATTTCTCAATTTCCGGTTCTCTCTACAGAGAGCTGAAGGCCAAAAGTTGTGGGTTCTGTGATAATTATCCTTCACAGGGACAGACCCGGAGGAGAGGAGGCCTCTTAGTTCTGGCTCTATCCTATTGCTTGGATTGGGTATGGGAGGGCCAGAGCTGCAGCAACCCTCCTGACACCATGAGGCCCACTCTCCCATAGTTAGGGCAGTACAGCAGGAAGTTGGGCCTCCCATTTCCTGGAAGGCGATATCCTGCAAACTTGTTGAAAGTTTTCTTATTCTCTGGGACTTTTGTGGATAGCCTGGAGGCAATTTCTAAGTCACACAGCAAGGGTACCAAGACAGTGACCCCAAGAGGTGGCCATGAGGGTCAATCCTCAGCAATCACTGATTCCTAAGCACAGAACAGGATCTTCACGTGGCCAACCAAAGTGGACTGGGTGCAGACCCTTTTGCCTGGCCTGTGCTCAGGCTGGGTGTACTCAGGGTGGCTCTGTGGTGACTGGCAGCTGAGGGGACAGGAGGTCAGCCCCTGTGAGACCCCAGGGTCAGGAGAGGGGTGGTCCCTGGAATCCTCTCAGAGCAAGATGGCTCAGTGACCCACTCCCGGCTGCCACAGGGTCCTCAAGGAGGGAACTGAGGGAGGGGTCTCCTTGGAGACGCTGTCCCCTGGTCGCCCTGGGACACCTTCTCATGGCGCTGGCTCTTGGGAGGAGCTGTCCCCGTCGTCGCTTCTGCAGGAGCAGAAGGGGAAGGTGCCGCAGCAGGGCTGCAGCCACGGCTTCCACAGGACGTTGCCCAGGGTCAGCTGCTGCGGGACAGGGCGCAGGGTCCCCCGGTGCCGGGCCACGGCCTCGCCCACGCGCTGGACCACGGTGTGGAACAGCGGCTCCGAGTCGGGGGACAGTGGCCGGGACTCGGAAGGGTCGCTGGAGAGGTCGAAGAGCAGGGGCGGGCTGTGCTGGGTGACGCCGTCCCCCGAGCAGGGGCACAGATGCTGGTCCCCGCAGGCGCCGGAGCCCGCGGGCTGGAACCTCGGTGTCATGTAGTGGACCTTCCAGAGCCTCCCACCTGTGGGCATAGCGGCGACAGTGGCACAGCTCAGGGTGGCCCTGTGCCCCACGTCCCTGTCCAGGTCGCCAGTGTCTATGGGCGCGCCCCCAGCGGACAGGGTAGGTGGCAGAGGGACTTGGGGATGGACAGATGGACGGACATAGGGGTGGGATCCGTGCAGGACAGGTGATATATGTATAGTCATGGTGGGGGGGTGAGGGAGTGGTTGACAGACAGATATATATATATATATATAAAATCTCTGTGCATTTATCAATCATCTAGGTCTGGCTGTCTGTCCACCCATAATCTATCATCTATTTTTCTACTCTTCTTTACCTTCCTAACTTCTGTTAATTATCTATCATCTATCTATCTATCTATCTATCTATCTATCTATCTATCTATCTATCTATTTATCTATTTATCTATTTATCTATCCAGATCCACCATCTACCTACCCATCTGTCCAGCTATTCATTATCTGAGAGTCTGTGTACCTGTCAATCATCTCTGCCGGCACCCACCCATTCTATCTATCTGTATGTCTGACTCTCTGCAC